AAAACATGTGTAAATTGTGAAAATGAAAATACAATTATAAATATAGAATTATTTTTAAAGGAACATAATATTACAACTTAGTTTACTTCGATAGTTATGTAAAAATAGCATACACAATTCATATTTGATATTTGCATATATTTTTGTTACAAAAAGCTATTTGTCATAAAGAACAGTTTCTAATATCATTAATTATTTAGAACAACGTTAACTATCTAATTAACATTTTCCTATCGATACAAGAATGTTTGAGTATTTTTTAAGTATATAATTTATTTGCTATTATGAGTACTACTATCTACATTATTATATAAATAAAAAACAATTTCATCTTTTTTATTCTAAAGGTAAAATCTTTAAAAATCTGCTAATAAAGGAATATAGTTATAGCAATATGGAACTTTTAACCAAATATCTTACATTTAAAACATTCGAGTTTTTGGAACACTTGCTTTTTTATTGGCCTAAGAGGGCGCTAAAGGGCTGACGTGTTTTTAGCCGCGGAAGGGCAAAAATGGCGAAATCGAAATTTGCAAAGTGCGCGAAAATATTGCTTAGTTTTGGTGTAATATTTGACTGATAAAAAAAAACATTCATTCTTGACGAATTACGTATTGGAAAAAATTAACTTTATAGTAACAGTGAACTTGTCATTCTCATTTCACTTTGAGATTTTAATACCGAACGACCTTTGGGTCTGTTTGTACACAGCGGTGCGTAGTGCACTGTGGGACAGCAATGGTGGGCGCGTGATTTTGAACAAATTCGAGGTATTGAGGGAACACCCAGGTATGTATTACAAAAAGAATTAATTTATTTATGAAATAGTTTGAGTGAAATTTAAGTACTTGAAGAACATATAAGAAACTTTTTTGAATATTTTGTTACAATTAAAATAAGCTTCGTGGCACGCCCCCACCCAGCACTGTACGTACCTGATATGAACTGATATGTTATAGGTTAAGTTGAATTTTGTACGATTATAAAGTGAATATTAGGGAAAAGTTTATTTTTTACTATCATTTAGAATTTTAAGCGTTCATTTTTTCTCTTTGTATCAATGTCGATTTGTTGTATAATTGTAAATGTTATTAAAATACTTGTAGAAATTCAGTTCGTGGAAAATGGCGCGTTCCAGTAATAAATGGCGCTAATGTTCCTAAGTGGACTATCCTTCGAATTTTTCTTCATTATTCAAATTTTATTGTTCGAATTTTCGAAAATTCGAATTATATCCGGTCTTTACATTGTTGGGTGCACGCGTAGGCAATCCTATTGTTCTTCGTATCTAGGAAAGGCATATCTACTTCCTAAAGATTTGAATTTTTGAATTTTTAAATTCTCGCTGATTCGTTTCGTTTTCACGTCATTTCGTAAATCGTTTTACATTTTTCGGTTGGTTTATGATATTTTCTTTTGTGCATAGTCTAACAACGTTTGAAGCTTTATGACAAAAACGATTTACATTCTGTGAATTTCTAACCTGCATATGCATGAAATACATGTTTATGATGGAAGATATAGACATCTGGAAAACTTTTTTAACATAGATAAACTTGTTTTATATAGAAATAAGTGTATATGATGATAAGATATTAAATGTTGCTAAAACAGTTTGAAGTTTATAATTTAGTATTTTATAATTGTATGTGATATTATACTTATAAATCTTTGTATCGTATGTTTTCGTACTTAGTTATGTAATTAATTTCTAAGTTTTATTTATATACTTATGATTTTTATAAAAATGATGATTTTAAGAAATCATTTCTTTTAAGAAAATGTGTATTACATGTGCAAATGGTTGTTTTATTCATAACTATTCCATGATAAAAGAATGTTTACATAGAGCAAAATAGAATCAAATTTAGAAAAAAAGCAGACAATTATTTTATGTATGTTATTATAAGTTTGTGCAATTTAACTTTATGTATTAAATATATAAATGTTAATATAAAATGTTAAATAACATTATCAGAAATTAAATGAAACACACTATATGTATAGCTACTTAAATTTTAAATGTGTATGAGTTTCTACAATAAGTAACATTTTGAATAGGGACGTAAACATGTCTGTAAATAAAGGGCAAAATGCTAGAGCTTTGGTTGAACCATTAGCTCTTGATTCACGTACACTTGGTGATGGAGACTTAAGTGCACTGAGTCTATCGCATAATAATGAACAATATTCATCCAATGACTTTGAAGCATTTGCAAATATTCAGGCAGAATTGGAATGTATGAATGCTGAAGAAGTTATGACAACTGAGGAAGAGCATATAATAATTGAACGTAATATTGAGACTGAAACAATTGTACCTGATGTGGAAATGACTGAAGTTTCTGAACAAGCTCAAGAGGAACATATTATCTATACAACAGCAAATCAGAATAATCAAAATATTGTGTTTCAAACAAAACCAACATTACAAAGGCTTCCTGCATCCACTGTACAGGTATAAAATATACATATAATGATTAAATATTTTGACAGTTATAATATTATTTTTTATTGATAGGTAAAACCAAATGTTGGTCAAGTAACACAAAGTCAGTCTATTATGATAGTATCTCCTGCTGGTGGTCAAGGCACTAGCCAAATTTTAAAAATTTCACATCCATCAACGGCATCAGCTGGTCAATTACAGTCATTAGCACAGACTCTCATAACAGCAAAATCTGCTGATGGTAACATAGTTCAATTAAGATCAGCACAACCTAGTAAGCCAGTAATGGCAACAAGCCATTCAGGGAATATCACATTAGGAAATGTCCAGAATGCAAAAACAGCTCAATCAGCTATAAAACGAACTGCACAGAGTACTCCTCAAAATCGAAATGTAAGATGTTTAATAATATATTGTTTTGTTAAATTTATTATGTTTAAAACTAAATCATATATACTACATAAATATTTTTTAGGTATATACAAAAATGATATTAGCTGGAAATCAAGCACAATCAGGACAAGTTCTTATAACTAGTTCTCAAAATGAAAATCAACAAACACAAGCAATAAAATTTTTAAATAATAGTGCATCAAGTCAGGATGTTACAAGCCCAACAAAAACTATAACATTGGCACAAGCACAACAAATGGGATTACTTTCTACTAACAAAGTTCAACATATTTTACCCTCATCACCGCAAAAACAAGTGAGTATTAAAAAAAAAGTAAGTATTTTTCTCATTTTTTATATTAAGGAAGAATAAAAAAAATTCTTCCAATTAATGAATAATTAAAATATAATAATTTATTTAAAATAATTATGTTTATTATTTTCAGCTCCAACAGTAAATACACAAGTTAAAACTACAACAATTTCAAATCAGCAATCAACATTTTCCTCTTCCAATAAATCATCTGTACAACCAAGCCCACAAAAAGTCATTATAAGACAGGTTGGTCATAAAATATAAAGTAATTTTAATGTATTAAATAGTTTTATACTAATCATATAAATATTTTTATAGAGTTCATTAAAACCTGGCACTGTTCTTGGAAGTGGACAAGTTATCAGAATACCAGCTAATCAAAATATTGTTACAGGATCCAATCAAGTACATCAGATACAAATGCCTGGAAGACAAGTAATATATGTTTTTTTAAACATAAAGATATTGTGATATTTTATTGCAATAATATTTGCAGCATAAGAATTTTAATTGTATCATTTTTCAAGGTGCAATATGTGAGATTAGTTAGTACTCCATCATCAGGTACTACAAATGTTGTCACTGTGGGAAAAACAAAGTCACAAACAACTTTACAAACTGTTGGAGTAGGTCAGAAAATAGGAGGTCAACAACAGATTGTCAAGGTTTGTAATGATAATAAATCATGCATTCATTTAAGAAAACACTATTAGTTTTATTGTATGCAATATACTTTTATTCAAATAAAACACAGGTAGTTCCACTAAATACTAGTAATCAATCATTAAGAACAGTTGCACCTAAAGCTACATTAACAGGAAGTGGTCAAAGGTTACTAATTCCTGCAACTGCAACAGTAGGAAATCAATCGAAAAACGCAGTTGCTATTCCAGCATCTGCATTGAGTCAATTAGCATCTGGACAGGCTGTTCTTTCAACTAATTCAAACGTGGGAAACATTGTAGTTTTACCAGCTCAATATATTCAGCAACAGGTTTAGTATATAACTTAATTAATTTAAAGAAAAGTACAAACAGAATAAAAGAAATACGTTGGTTAATAATATTAAAATTTTAAATTGTAACAACATATTTTTATAACAATATTTGTTTTCTACAGCCGGCGGATGATGCAAAATTAAAACCTCAACAGGCAACACCCAGTTTATTAGGTAATTCACAAAATTTACAGAGTTCAACAGGAAATTTATGTGTGGGATCTGTTATAGAAACTAAAAGTTCTCAAAGATCATATACCAGTGTGGAGCCAAATGGTATCAGGCCAAGGAAACCGTGTAACTGCACTAAATCACAATGTCTTAAGTTGTAAGCATAATGTATACTAAATGCACTAAATCATTACATTTTTATACATATTATTACTGTGATTCTACTTTTAAAAAATGAACATCACACGTTGCTCTTCATTTTTTTATTATATCCATTGAAAAATAACAGTCCACAATGAAAGTTTCTATCTTCAATTAAGAAATTGTCTTGTGATGTAAGAAATATTTAATTATGAAGTTAATATTTTAAATATGTTTTAATAAATTGTAAATATGTATCATTACAGATATTGTGATTGTTTTGCGAATGGAGAATTTTGCCACATGTGTAATTGCAATAATTGTTCTAATAATCTTGGAAATGAAGAAGAGAGACAACGTGCTATCAAGTCTTGTTTAGAGCGTAATCCAAATGCTTTTCGTCCAAAAATTGGCAAAGGTCGTGAAACTGGCGATGATGTACGTAGACATAACAAAGGTTGCAATTGTAAACGAAGTGGATGTTTAAAGAATTACTGTGAATGTTATGAGGTATTATAAATGACCTTACATGCATACATTTTTAAATATGATAAAACTTTCTTCCTAGAACATAATGTGCTTTTTTAGGCCAAGATTCCTTGTTCTGCTAATTGTAAATGCATAGGATGTCGTAATGTAGAAGAACCAAATTTGGAGAAAAAATCTTTAAAAGACCTAGCAGAAGCAGCTGAAGTAAGAACAGCACAACTTACATTAAATAAAGCGAAACTGCAGGTATCGGAAATGGCTTTTAGGCCTCCTGCAGCATCAAATACTGGTGCAAGGTGTGTTAAATACTGAAAAGTGGAACGAAGTGTAAAACGTTACATATTTCTAATTCATATTTATTTTACAGGCAACCATTTAACTTCTTGACTGATAAGGTAGTAGAAATAACATGTCAATGTTTAATGGCACAAGCTGACGAAGCAGAACGTAACATGTTTGATGACGAAACATCACAAAGACTTATAATTGAAGAGTTCGGTCGTTGTCTCAAGGAAATCATAGAATCAGCACATAAAGCCGAAGCTACCTAGCAGGTACATTCTGGGAAAAAGTTTAATGTTGAAAGTTTTCGAACTTTGCGGACGTATTCTGAAGTCACAAAACTGGAAACGTTGGTTATCGGTACCTCTTAATCTAATAATTGGTCATAACAAATAGAAGATAAAGTGTTACATACCAAAGATGATGGTAAAAATATTAGAACATAATACATTCAACCGTTTTCTTTTTTTTTTTCTCATTGTTAAAAGATAAAAAGCTTTTTTTCGAATACAAATTGCACATACGTACTTTCAAAAGTATCAGAAAGCAATGTACAGTTAAGTGTAGTAAAAACAGTGTATTATTTAATTTTTTTACTTTATTGAAAATTTGATAGATTTAATTTTAATTTAAAAGCTGTTATTTTATTGCATAACATACCAATGATGTAAAGAGAAGTTTAGAAATAGCACGGTTGAATGCAATATGACATCAAAATTTGTAACACAAGTGTACAAGACATAAAAAGTGTTTATATATTTGTCGATCATATTTTAAAAATTAAGAATTTACTCAAAATCAGGATAAGAGGCTAAAGTAGTAAACAGCTATAATTTGACATATTTATCAAATAGTTTGTGTGCAGTAAATGTATTTCTGATCTACATTCTTTACCTAATTTGAATTTCTAATTACTTTTTATTATATGAATATTCAGATATTTTTATCAAAAGGAATGCATGTATTCATAAAGTAACGGTAATGGTGGAGTTTTACAGAATGTCGAGAACCTTTTTTTTATCGGTAGGCAATATGAATGATGAACGCAAATTTCAATACGTTTCGTTTCATTTTGCAATGGAATTATATCATTTCAAACTTTCATATTGCATGTCGATTTAACATATTTATCTTAATTTGTAGAAATGATTTCCTTTATTTCATAAATTGATATTTCAGTGTGTATATTTTAGCTTCAATAAGGTACGTGAAAAAGAGACCCTACATTTTTGAAGACGATAAAATTATTCATAAACGTTGTTATTATTAAAAATATTTGAGAAATTTGAGTTATTCATAAAAACGAGTGTTTACTTAAGTCATTTGTGAATGACATTACATTTTTATGATTTTTTCTTTATTGTTATTTAGTTTCTCATCTGATATTAATGGGTTTTTTTTTTTAAAGAATGTTGGGAAATGGTTTTTTTTTTCATGGTGTTATTTTTGTATATCTAAACGTACTTGTCAAGAAGAACAATTAAAAGTTTGAAATGAAAATATTAGATTCTTTATGCAAATATGTTTCGTCCATTTTCTTATTAATTCTATAACGATATATAATATCGAATAACTTCTCTCAACTCTAAAATAGACAAAGTTTTTTGTTACACGTTGCAATGCACCCATACATTTAATTTGATTATGATTATGTACTCTGAATGATACATATACAAGAATTGTTTAAATAATTCGTGGTACAGTGAATGGCATTGCAGTGAATGAAGATATTAAGAATATAATTGTTTAATGTACCAGTTTGATAGGCACAGATGGATAAATACTTTTCATCATGCACTGAATTAATCATCACTGCAGTAGTAACACTATCTGTCTGCCATTAGAGGTGATAAAAGTATAACTTTTATGTAGGAAATTAATATAAAGTATAGAGAGTTTATATATTATACATAGAACAGTGTAAGGACAAATGTAATATAGGTACAAATATAAATATATATTATATATTCATAAAATTCGTACTTCAAAGGACAATGTTTATTTTAAGTATACAAATTGTACAGATTACTGATCCATAGTATAATAATGAGGTGGAAATTGTGTGAATTGAATATATAATTTTGAAACATCTTCTTAGATGTTTAAAGAAAATTGTAATAGTGAAAATTAATCATATGTTTTTACTTGTTACACGTCATTTACATAACAAGTCAAATATGAAAATATAAATTTTAAATTAATATTACAAATTTTGCAAGAGATACTGATGTATATGTATAAGAAACTGCTACTATGTACAGATAATACTCGTATATCTAAATACACCTTTATAATTTGTCTTCTGTACATAGGAAAAAATCTGATATCACAGAGTTTAATAAATAATTTATTCCTTTAATTTAGGAAAATTTATTTAAACAAGTAATTCATTTCATGATTACATTGTATAACTAATGTGTAAAAAGTTTTAACTGATTTGTAAATTCGAGTGTAATGTAAATAGGCAATATATAAATTATGAAGGTATTATGTTCTGTCTGATATCAGATTTTTTATGATGGTGGTTTAAATAACATTAAAATATATGTACGAAAAAAATGTATATGTATATACATGTCAAACACATGTACCTTTCAATAAATCTTATGTTTACATTGCAAATTATTAGTTCATAAAAATATATACAAGAAAAAGTTTTGCATTATATGAAAGTACAATTGTCTACAATATAAACCTTTATTAAAATGTCACTACTTTCTTTATTTTTTTATTATCTTTTCTATCTATGTTCTTTGTGTTTTCTTCTAAGGATTCTATATTACCACTTGCAATTGTATTTAGTGTAACAGCATTTTCCTCTTTTTCTTTAATCAAATCTGGACAATCTTTTTTCAAGTGTGTAACATCACCACAAATTTTACAACAACCCCCTTGAGGATAGACTCCTTTAGGATTATCAGGGCATTGTTTAGAAATATGTCCTTGTTCACGACAAATAAAACAAGTTGCATATCTGAATTCTGTTGGTTTAGCAACTTTACAATCGAAGTACGTGTGTTCCGTTGATCCACATTTAAAGCAGATTCCAGTACCGGCTTGTTCTTGTCCAAGCTCCGGACAATCGGACAAATTGTGTCCTGATTTACGACAGTGGAAACAGACACATTTTCTAATTCTTACTAATGCTTTTTCTGCTTTTCTCCTTTCTAGCTTCATTGCTGCATTTATCTCCATTGTTGGGATACCTATAAAAATGAATAAAATATGTAATGAAAATTTAAAAAAATATAAAATTTATTATAAAATAAAACGAAAAGTTATTATGCACTACCTACCTTTCATAATCATTTTTTGTTTCAAGTCACTCAGTCTATCTGCATCTTCCTTTTTAACTGGAAAACCATCAAACTTTACAACTTCTACTTCTACACCATTAATTTTCATCTTTATAAGACCTAAATCTGGTTTTCTTCTTTTGTGTTCTTTATCATCTCGAATTTTAGGAGGTTTTCTCTTCTTCTTTTGAGTGTCAAAGTTTTTTATTCCAAATTTATTTGGTATATTCCTAAAATTGTTTGACTTATTTGCAAAGTTTTTATTAAAGCTTCTTGATGTTTCATTATTCCCTTTACTTTCAGCATTTTCACCACTATTTTCAGTATTTTGTATATTAATCTCATTGTTATGTTCTGATGCATTAGAAGCATTTTCATTGAAGAATTTGTTCTTTTTCTTCATATTACGTTTTTGACGTTTGGAAAGGATACCTCTCTCATTCTGTGACTCAGACATATCACGTAATGTATTATTTTTGTTTCTATCAATTTGTGAATCACTATATTTATTCTTTGTTTCATTTGCATCAGATTCATTAATTTTTTTATTACTTTGATGTTCTTCATCTTTAATATTACTTATGTTCTCAGAAAGATTTCCATGCTTCTTATGTTTTTTGCTTTTTATTTCTGTATGTTCTTCATCTTTAATATTACTTATGTCCTCAGAAAGATTTCTATCCTTCTTATGTTTTTTGCTTTTTACTTCTGTTACAGAATTATCAACATCATTGATATGTCTTTTCAAAGATGTATTTTGATTTTTCTGCTCCTCATTATATTGTTTTTTTTTCTTTTCATTGGTTTCATCTGTCTTGGAATTATTTTTCTTCTTAGAACTATTTTCAAATTCTGCCCAATCATTATGAACACTTTCAACAGTGTTAGAAGATATATTTTGCTTGTCTTCTAGTAATTCTTTTGCAGATTTAGTTTTTCTTGGGGGTTCTTGTCCTTTAGATAAATTTTCTACTAATTGTTGTTTCATTAGATGCCATGGTGTAGCTTCACTAGGTATTCTTTCATTTGAAGCCTTTGAACCCGAAGCTCTTGCATATCGAGTCATGCTTTAAACGTGTTGGTAGATCCCTTAAAATAAATTACAAGGTATTGCAGTTGTACAGTAAAATATTATATTGTTATAGGAACAGATTGTACATAAACTTCGAGTTATTAAAGTTGGTACAAATTTAATAAATGTTGTTTGCAAACAAAAGTTATTTTTGCTTTCTAACCTTCACATTTACAAAAGATTTGTATTAAAAAAAGGTTGGAATTTATTAATTTGTTGTTTTTAACTATACAATATTAATTTTAACATATTTTTAATTTAAATTATAAACACATTAACGTAGGAGTTATAAATTATTAAAGTAAATTGAACATAGATAATTAAAGGTTTAAACTTACTGTAAACAATATTGGGAACTATTAACTGCACGTTAAATAACCTCACTTTACTACACGTGAGAACACATAAGTGATTGCTCAGATCGATTGTCCTTTACTGTGCAAATCATTCGGGAGATCGAATATATTTAAATTAAAGTCTTGTACGTTTTGAAAAAGGAATTATTCTTACTTTGTATTTAGTCTACATTCTCAACACTAGTTTATAGTTTATTCAATTTTGTAATGGAATAATATTTAAAAACTGGGTGTTTCGTAAAATTAAATGGGTGTATGTAAGGAAGAAATGAATGCTATAAAGTAATACTGGTATATTGTAACCTTTTGTAAAATACATTTTGTACAGTTATCTTACAATAAATAATAGATTTTTTGATAAATAATTGCATTTCTTCGTCATTCCTGATGTTGAAATTCTTTCCTTGATTCCTATGGTACTCTGAAAGTTGAATTCCTAATTTATACAAAATGAACACTGACATTTAAATCATCAATAAAAGTCACAAACAATTTTTAATGTAATTGTTCAATACGCAATTAATAAATTAAGCTGATTTATTAAGTTAAATCATGTAACAAATTTATTTAATATTTCTAATAATTATAAATTACTATCTAAAATGTTATTTAACAAGAATTATTCTTGAAACTAAGCCAGAAACTCTATTTTACTACCTACATTATTAGTAATGTTAAAGCAATTAAAAATTGCTTATAAGTATCAATTCTAAACTGCTCACTACATGCAATTATGTTCTAAATTACAATAATAATTATTAAAAGAGAAAAATTCAAAGAATGTCTACTTTAAAAACCATCTAACCAGATAATATTGCATTTCTCACGATTTTCTCGATGATCCATCGGTAAGACCAGGAAAGGAATAAGGCTAGACAAGGATAGAAATACTATCGCGTGTTAGACAAGGAAAGGAATAGTGTTAGACAAGGATAACAAAACTACCGCGTGTTAGACAAGGAAAGGAATAACGGTAGGCAAGGATAGAAAAACTAACGCGTGTTAGACAAGGAGAGATATAGGGTTAGACAAGGATGGAAAATTTTACAGATCAAGAGTAACGCCATCTCGTGTTTGGATCCACGAACTGACGACTTGTTACGCGGGTCACAGAATGTGAACAGAGGTATTAGAGAAGGAAAGCACTAGTGTGCGACAAGGACAGAGAGAAAACGTTTCCTATTGGTCCGCTGGCCGCCATGCGCCATCTCCCTCGCGCTGTATCAAGTCGGTCAGGGAAAAATCATTAATAACTCATTAATTAGGATGATTTTGTGAACTTTTAGGATTAAAGAATGTAGTGTGGACCTTTAGCTGTTTTCTCATATAGTTTTTAGTGCGCTAAACCCTTTCAATAATTAGTTATTAACAATTTTAGCACGGGATGTCGGGAATGATGCTGTTTACGTTTATATACGTTTACGCTTTTTCAATAATTTCATAGCTTTCTAATGAATTCCCATGCAATTAACGATATGCAGCTGAAAGGTAACTCCTTTGGCTACATTCTCATATAACTTTTATTAACATATTCCGTTTAGTTTAGGAGTTATTCAATATTATTTGGGAGCGTTCCTATTCATCGTACTCGAGTCAAGTCGAATCTTATAAACAATTACTAATATTTAATAAACTACACCACTAACGGCTACAAAAATTATTGGAGAATACAGATAAAAGTCCACTCTACATTCTCCATGCTTAAAAGTGCATAATTAATCACGCATTTCTATTGAAATAACCAGAATGTATTACGATTGAATGCGACGGGTGTAATACTCTTCCAAAGAATGTTTAATAACTCATTATCTACGAAGAATTTGTGAACTTTTTGTATTGAAGAATAAAGTGTGGACCTTTAGTAACTTTCTCATATAGATTTTAATGCTCTAGAACCTTTAAATAATTAGTTATTAACAATTTTAGCAGGTGATGTCAGGAACGGTACCGCATACCGTCAAGTATCGTTCCGGTTTTTCAATAATTTTATAGCTTTCTACTAAATTCTCGTACAAATAACTATACGTATCTGAAAGGCAACTCCTTTAGCTACATTCTCATATAACTTTTATGAACATATTCCGTTTACTTTAGGAGTTATTCAATATTATTTGGGAGCGTCCCTATTCATCGTACTCGCGTCAAGTGGAATGTTATAAACAATTGCTAATATCTAGTAAACCACATCACTTACGGCTACAAAAATTATTGGAGAATATAAACAAAAGTCCATTCTACATTCTTCATGATTAAAAGTGCATAATTAATCACGCATTTCTATTGAAATAACCAGAATGTGTTACGATTGAATGCGACGGGTGTAATACTCTTCCAAAGAATGTTCAATAAATCTTAAACTAGTAACTATACGTATCTGAAAGGCAACTCCTTTCGCTACATTCTCGTGTAACTTTTATGAACATATTCCGTTTAGTTTAGGAGTTATTAAATATTATTTGGGAGCGTCCCTATTCATCGTACTCGTGTACCGTCAACTGTTATAAACAATTGCTAATATCTAATAAAGCACATCAGTTACGGCTACAAAAATTATTGCAGAATATAAACAAAAGTCCATTCTACATTCTCCATGCTTAAAAGTGCATAATTAATCACGCATTTCTATTGAATTAACGAAAATATGTTAGGCTTTAATACGCAGGTAAATACAAGTGTAACACATTTACGGATTTTCAATAATTTCATAGCTTTCTAATAAATTCCCATGCAACTAAATGTATGCGTTTCAAAGGTAACTCCTTTAGCTATATTCTCATATAAATTTTATTAACATATTCCGTCTAGTTTAAGACTTATTAAACATTCTTTGGGAGAGTATTACACCCGTCGCATTCAATTGTAACAGATTTTGGTTATTTCAATAGAAATGCGTGATTAATTATGCACTTTTAAAAAAAATATTGTAACCACAGATGTCAGTACTAGGACTATTGGATGATGCTGCCAGCTAGTAGACAATTTTAGAACTAATCGTCACAGTTTATCAGCCTTGGATGATTAGTCTATTTCAGGGATCGGCAACCCCAGCTTTCTGCAAAGTTCTCATGCAACTAACTACACGCGTCTGAAAGACAATTCCTTCAGCTACATTCTTATATAATTTTATAAACAGATTCAGTTTAGTTTAGGACTTATGAAATATTATATGGGAGTGTCCCCTATTCATCGTACTCGAGTATAGAGAACTGTTACAAACATTTGCTAATATCTAATAACCCACACCACTTACGGCTGCCAGGAAAATTGCAGAACATAGATAAACGTTCATTCTACATTCTACAAGCTTTAAAGTGTATAATTAGTCACGCATTAGCCTGTCCTTATCTAAGTTAACATTTACGTTTAATTTTTTACCAGAGGTACAATATTGTAACCACAGATGTCAGCATTAGGACTATTGGATGATGCTGCCAGCTAGTAGACAATTTTAGAACTAATCGTCACAGTTTATCAGCCTTGGATGATTAGTCTATTTCAGGGATCGGCAACCCCAGCTTTCTGCAAAGTTCTCATGCAACTAACTACACGCGTCTGAAAGACAATTCCTTCAGCTACATTCTTATATAATTTTATAAACAGATTCAGTTTAGTTTAGGACTTATGAAATATTATATGGGAGTGTCTCCTATTCATCGTACTGGAGTATAGAGAACTGTTACAAACAATTGCTAATATCTAATAACCCACACCACTTACGGCTGCCAGGAAAATTGCAGAACATAGATAAACGTTAATTCTACATTCTACATGCTTTAAAGTGTATAATTAGTCACGCATTAGCCTGTCCTTATCTAAGTTAACATTTACGTTTAATTTTTTACCAGAGGTACTATATTGTAACCACAGATGTCAGCACAAGGACTATTGGATGATGCTGCCAGCTAGTAGACAATTTTAGAACTAATCGTCACAGTTTATCAGCTTTGGATGATTAGTCTATTCCAGGGATCGGCAACCCCAGCTTTCTGCAAAGTTCTCATGCAACTAACTACACGCGTCTGAAAGACAATTCCTTCAGCTACATTCGTATATAATTTTATAAACAGATTCAGTTTAGTTTAGGAGTTATGAAATATTATATGGGAGTGTCCCCTATTCATCGTACTCGAGTATAGGGAACTGTTACAAACAATTGCTAATATCTAATAAACCACACCACTTACGGCTACCAAACAAATTGCAGAATATAGATAAAAGTCCGTTCTACATTCACCATGCTTAAAAGTGCATAATTAATCACGCATTTCTATTGAAATAACCAAAATCTGTTACAATTGAATGCGACGGGTGTAATACTCTCCCAAAGAATGTTTAATAAGTCTTAAACTAGACGGAATATGTTAATAAAATTTATATGAGAATATAGCTAAAGGAGTTACCTTTGAAACGCATACATTTAGTTGCATGGGAATTTATTAGAAAGCTATGAAATTATTGAAAATCCGTAAATGTGTTACACTTGTATTTACCTGCGTATTAAAGCCTAACATATTTTCGTTAATTCAATAGAAATGCGTGATTAATTATGCACTTTTAAGCATGGAGAATGTAGAATGGACTTTTGTTTATATTCTCCAATAATTTTTGTAGCCGTAACTGATGTGCTTTATTAGATATTAGCAATTGTTTATAACAGTTGACGGTACACGAGTACGATGAATAGGAGACGCTCCCAAACAATATTTAATAACTCTTAAACTAAACCGAATGTATTAATAAAAAGTATATGAGAATGGAGCTAAGGGAGTTGCCTTTGAGATGCGTATAGTTATTTGCACGAGAATTTAGTAGAAAGCTGTAAAATTATTGATAAACCGGAAAGGTGCTTGACGGTATGCGGTATCGTTCCCGACATCACCTGCTATAATTGTTAATAACTAATTATTGAAAGGGTTTAGCG